TGACACTTAAGCCTACGATATATATAACATTGTTAGTGTAAGTGTTGAAATATATTTATATCAAATGGTTTTAATAAAATTCTTTATGGATGTAGTGTGCTTACTCAATTCATATGTAGAAAGAATAAACCTAGCAAGCTAACAGCATAGCAAAGTGGCGAAGCAATCAGCTTTGTAGCGGTTTCTAACGGTTGCCGTTGAGCAATCAGTTTCAAAATAGGAGGTTCAGATGCCTGGGTGATCAGTAATCGATTGCTGAAAACAGAATTTGAAAATTCAAAACCGTTCTCGAGATAATCGTGGGACAAACAGACAGACGGACAGACGGACAGACGGACAGACATCGTGAAATCAATAAGTGACTTCGCAAGCTTCGCCACTTAATAATGATGAAGTTACATGCAGTGTACGAAACTCTGGCAGCTAGCTGATGGGGGAAAATCTATCTATTTATGAAAAACTCTAATACCGCAGACTGATTAAAGGGGCACAGTATTACCTAAGATAGTATATATAGCATTACCTAGATATCGAAGGAAATATTAAACAATAAAAACATTTATATAATTTTATCAAAACATAATTCGATATTATGATAACAAAATATGTATTATGTTGTTATCAATTTGAGCCAGTCTGAAAAATATTTACCCAGTTTCAAATAAGACCGAAGAGAGAATTGTTGTTTAAAATTTTACAATTTACACAATTTTAGTTCAGCAATAAAAATATAAATTAATTAACGTTTAGGTATGTTCTCGTAGTTAAAGCGTAAATTGAAGTTCAAAAAGGTATTTCACGCAAGTTTTCAATGCTTAACTACTGGATTGTATATATATATATATATATATATATATATATATATATATATATATATATATATATATATATGCGGATGATAGCACTGGTGATGCTCTATACACATTGCTCGGGAAAACGTCACCGAGTACCGGAACAAACTTGTGTCTGAAGTCGAGTCTTTGCTGGACAAAGTCTCGGATTGGGGGCGACTAAATCTAGTCCAGTTTAATCCTCAGAAGACACAAGTTTGCGCGTTTACCGCTAAAAACAACCCCTTTGTCGTATCTCCTCAGTTTCAAGGTACTCCCCTTGTTTCCCCCAGCTCAACGCCTGCAACTTTACAAGGCACAGGTTCAGCCTCACATGGAATACTGTTCCTATCTCTGGGCTGGGGCTCCCCAGTGCCAGCTCCTTCCACTTGACCGCATCCAGCGCAGAGCGGCTCGAATCGTCGACGACCGAGTCCTTTCCGATCGGCTCGACTCATTGGCACTGCGAAGAGATGTTGCATCTCTTTGCATTTTCTTTCGATTTACCATGGGGAGTGCTCTGAGGAATTGTTCGGATTAATCCCAGCCGCCTAAATTCACGAACGCACATCGCGGCAGAACTCCCGATACTATCCACACCATCTGGATGATTGGCGGTCCACCACTGTGCGATTTAGAAGATGTTTTCTTCCTCGCACAACTTCCTTGTGGTATCGATTACCACCAGCGATTTTTCCGGACCGATACGACTTAGGGACCTTCAAGAAAAGAGCCTACTCCTTTTTAAAAGGCCGGCAACGCATCTGCAATTCCCCTGGTGTTGCGGTTGTTCATGGGCGGCGGTAGTCACTTACCATCAGGTGAGCCACATGCTCGTTTGCCCCCTCTCCTATAAAAAAAAATATATAAACAAAGGAATTTAAATGTTATGTCCAGCGTAGTTACAGCCAAGAGAGGAAACAATTTTCACTTGTCCTCGATTAAGAATCAAAATGCATTTGCGTTACCACCCCTGAGAACTAATATGAAATGCCTCGTTTCCAGCAAAAAGGGTCTCTGGTTTTCTACACTCACCATATCAAAAAGAATAGCCTAAAATAGCAGCTAAATTCTGCTATTTTAGGCTGTTGTTAAAATAGCAACAAATGCTGCTATTTTACACTGTAGCTTAATGCTACTATTTTACGCTGTTATTTTAGGAGAGCGTTGTCCTTCTCCGGTTAGGTATATTCAGACTAGAAAATCAATTAGTTGCGTTTGTTTTTTATTTAGATAACGCATTATTTAAAATATAATCTAATGTTGCTGTGATGTGAAGTTCCTTATATTGGAAGAAAAAAAAGTAAGGAAAATAATATATCCAAATCTCAGTCGATGACCCCATAAAATGTCTATTTTCAGGTATATTATATTATTTTCGTGTATAGAACATTTTAAGCAGCCACATTAGACTTAGAAAAATTATCTTATATTGTACACTTTTTATTTTGTACCGCGCACGGCTTTCATGCAATTATAAGTAAACGGATAGCATCCCTGATGACGAGAATAAGAGGTGGCACTTATAGTCTTTTGGCAACTGTTATAAATTGCTTAATTAACTGATACTAACCGTAATTACTAAGAGTTTGTAATTGTTTTGTTTATATATGGATATGAATTCTATAATTAAAAGGTAAGTAATACTATAATTATAGATAAGTTATATGTTTTAATTTGGGCTATGGACGAGGAGCCTGGCTGATGATCTGATGATCGCGGAATACGATATGACATAGCGCGAAATAGAGATATCCAAAAAAAAAAAACTATGATACGTTTTTCGCGCATTTACTATCAGGAATGAAAATCGGTTGCAAATTTCGTTATCGTTCTCTAAAAGGTTCCACTTTTCAGCGCGGTATAGATTCTGATTCTAGTTACGATATCAGTTTTAAGATAACACTTACAAAACACCAAATAAGAAGCGTTCGTGACGTTGTACTTTACCTTTCTTATTAAATTACTAGCTTATATCCGCCTAGGACTTAAACGAAACAATCTGCGGATCTTCCAAACTAGTCATTGGGCAACCAAAAACAATTAGTTTGTGGCGGTGCTGTCATCACGCTACAAGCGAAACACATCTAAGTCTAAATCAATTAACTTTCGATTTCAGTTCTGGTTCTTACATCAGTCAGTACTACTAAACACCAGTTTTATCGATATTTTAGAATATTCTCCTATTCCTTGTATATTGCACAGTAGTCAATAGGACAAATAATACAAAACTATAATACCGATTTTTATATAAATAAAATGTGAACATCATCACTGTAGTCGAAGTCAATGAAATAAGCATTATTAAAGATAACTCAAAAACTACTAATCAGATCGTAATAAAATTAATATGGGACCACATGAGAAGCACCAGCGTCAGCAAAATCGGTTAACTAAGAAAAAAATATGCGGTAACAGACATAAAAAACAAAAAAAAAACTACGGTCGTATTAAGTACCTCATTCTTTTTGGAAGGCGGTTAAATACAAAAATTCTAACAAGGTTAAAAAGTTCTTTGCCGTATGGCAGCTGTATATGAGAATCTATCATTTCACCTTGTCTAATTCACGATATATGCGTTGAAAAATATGTTAAACTCTTGTGCAGACTGTAGACTCATTGTCAGCAGTGAAAAATCACAAATTGTGAAAATGATAATAAGGCAGTCCAACTCGACGGTAAGAGAGATCACACTCCGGAAGTGGATTGTTTACGGCCTTTTGAGTCATGAATTGTTATCTTACTCCATAATCCATGTAATTCTCAATTACAGCATGAATACGTCGGCTAGACTGGATCTGGAATAGGCTCATACAGAATACGGGTTTTAAATAACAGCATCGTATAATAATGCTACATTTGCGTGTCGAGGTAAGGACCGGAGACCCTTTTATTGGTACCGGGTTCAATTGTCTTAGTCTGTCATCAGTCAGGTCAGGTAATAATACATCTACGTTTTGAGTTCTCGCATACGTAAAACTTACGTATTTTTAAACGATATCTATGATGCTTCTTGTAACAAAATATTTTCTTAGTGAATGTAAGCCGAATATCAAGATCACGTTGTCATCGCGCCTTGACAAAGCTACTTTGACAGACAGACGCTGTCGGCAGACACTTACGTCGGCTTACAATTTGGATGAAATTTTGTAATAGGATAATGTTTTGCTTTCCAAGATTATCTAGATAATTTCATTTCTTACAAAATTACACTTTTCATTAACATATCTACAGTATACAAATTAAAATTTATAATAAGCATTACAATCCAACAAAGTTTTTGGCATGATACTTTTCGCATAATATAATTGATGAAAATAATTTTAGTAGAATTATTAACGCTATAAATTTGTGTTTGAATGGTATTTCCTTTACCTAATTGTTTTCTTATTGCTGTTTTAAATTAGTTAACTTTGAAGAGTCAAAAGAATCACACTTTCACTCATTTTGTACGTATGTTTATATTTTATTACACAAAGAGATTCTAAAAAGTTGATGATTCAAGTTTATATCATATTAAAATTCTTGTAGGATTTATTAGAAAAGTAAATAATAATATTGGAATTAGTGCCTAAAAGTTTGCCCATTTTATTTGTCTTAGCTAAAGATTACACATAAATACCATACGCTGCGAAAGAACATATTTTATCGTATATAAGTACCCTAAATAAAATGAAACGTTTCATACTGTATTTTTCACAAGAAAATTGGTAGTATTGTAAAAAGTTATTAGTTTCTAGCAAAAAGACAATAAATCTACTCTTGGCGAGAAATACTAATGCCGTTTTAACACTGAAAATTTAAATGAGAGTTGGTAATTTCAAGGTTCATCTTCATGCCAAATAAATCTATTATAGTCTGTGTTTAATATTGTTAATTTACCTGTTTTTACAAATATTGATCACAGTTTACTTTCATAAATTATTTAATTTACTACATAATATAATGTACCTTACGTCTTGCAAAAAAAGAACATGGCCTTATAGATGATTTATTCTTGTAATTTATATGATTTCGTATAGTTTCTCCTTTATGTGATTTGCACCCATTACATCTTCCCAACCTTAGAGTGTACTGGCAGAGGACATATCTAAACATTTAGCCAATCTTACTGTACATATATAATATGTATGCAAATAAAGATTAAATAAAATAATTCAAAACTCTTACCTTTCTTTCCGAAGTTCACTGTTCCGCTTGCGAAAGTTGCCGACGAGTACTTGCATTTCAGCTGAATGTCTTTCATACAGTTGTGACAGCTGTGTTGTGAAGTCTGATACTGTAACAAAAATAAATCATTAAACAAAAACAAGTTTTGAAGATCTTCAATTTCAAATTTTATTATATCAATATTAATCGTTAATTGATCGTGTAGTGGCGGTGTAAGAATATCCACTACCCCATATCATCCCGTGGGTATTGTAAGAGGCGACAGAGGGAAACAAATCAGAACATGGGCAGCAGCATCTTCCTAACAACGGCAAAAAAAAAACTGATGTTGCCAACATGTTTGCTAAGCGTGGAAACTATGGCAGATATTCCCCCTATGAGGCAATCTATAGGGGGAGGCCTATGTTCACTGGTGGACTTTAATACACTGTAACGGTAATCGTTAATTCTTTTCTTAAATATTTAATAATGCAAATAAACTAGTTCCTTTTGAAGTTAATAAAAAAAACAGTAAGTATAACGAGTAGTAACTTGTTATACTAAATTTTTATTGTAAGTTCGTAAAAAATGTCAACTCGTTCAAAATAATAAATTCTTTTTTTTAATACGTTATCCCCACTCTAGGATTTCCTCCTGTGTCGTAGAGGCAGTTTACAAACACAAACTGCACAAGGACAAACATCCAGATCGGGAACAATTATTTGTGGGTCATACAAATACTTGTTCCGTGCGGGGTTCAATCCCGCGACCCCCAGCGCAGCAACTCATTGCTAAGCCACTGTGCCACGGAGCCGTTAAATTGAATTAGATTTTTAATGTACGTTTGTTGATTTCGATGACGTATCAAGATGGAAATGTCAATGAATAAGAGATTTTTATTGCCAACAACCAAAGTTGCTCGATTCTCATAACGGTTTTTATTCTTTTTATTCAAATGTAATGAGTTGTCGTTACCTAGTCAAGTCAACCCATTTTCATAACACGGCCTATATCTGTTTAACTGAAGTGTGACCTCACAAGTCTACATATCGTAAATCTATAATTCCCGGGGCACAGGCTCGATTTTTCTAAGACGGTTTTAAGGCTAGTTAATGTCTTGCATAGATCCAATACGTCTAGAAATATTTCGGAGGCATGCCTTTACATGTCTTCGAAATATTTATTTTAAATTTTTTAGACAGGTAAATTTCACTATGTTCTCTTTCATTGTAAAGTACGTCGAAAATCAGCACTTAGTATTGCAATTAACAATATCATTGGTGCCGTCAGGGTTCATACCCGGACTGTGGAATTTAAAGGAAGCATTTAGCTCCTGGGCTACCAGGATTAGGGTAGCTCAGAGGCTAGGCGCTAATAAGTGTAAGAAGTATTAATCGAGTGTAATCATATTCTCCTAAGCCATTTATTGAAAGTGTGAAGCAAACTATTCTACTGTTTAAGGAAAAGAACAGAGAAAATATATAGGTTTAGATACTTTAGTCATGAAATAAAGCCCTTAAAAAACTTAACTTACTTTAATGGCAAATTCGTTTAAATTTACATTAAAACCTTTTCAGTGCTTCAATCTAGATCATTTATTAAGGTCGCTTTCATGAAGAGTTGCCCGTCGTTTACGGCTCATTATGGTTCCGGTGGTTTGAAACAAGGCTCTTAAGCACTTTACTAGGGGACCATTAATGAACGTTGATTTAATATGATAGGTAGGTACCTGAATTTACTTATTTGTTTGAAGCTAGTTACGACCTCTCCCTCTCTCTCTCCATCTCCCTCTTTCTCCATTCAGTCACAGTCTATCAGTCTATTACAGGACATGGGCCTCTCCAAAATAAGGTAAGATTGGCGCTATTAGGTATATTTATTTATTATATACTTTTATATTATAAGTGGGTGCACTACCAGACTTCTCACTACTTTGACGCTGCTTCCCGTCGCCGATCTTAGGAATCATACGACGTTACGAGATGGTTATATACTCATCTATCGAAACCAGTAACATCTTCACACTTTTTCCATAAATCTTATTTGGATGACAACTATTGGATGAAATGGAACGATATAACGATATACCATAGATAAAGTGTTATAATTAAAAAAGTGTTTTGGTTTGAAAAAATTTCAAAAGTAGATACTTTTCAACTTAAAAGTAGATCCAAAATAATCAAATCCTCTTACTGCTTAAGGCAGAAATAAGATCGTCGAACATGTTAAATTACACGCAGATGGAACTACACAATATGTACATTTTTTTAATTTATATATTGTGCAGTCGCATCTTCTTTAGCATAATCAGCCCTTTACTCGTATAGTTCAGTTCTTTTTTATAGCAGAGGGATCAAACGAGTATGCAGCTCTGCAACACCAGGGGGGTTGCAGATGCGTTGCCGGCCTTTTAAAAAGGAGTAAGCTCTTTTCTTGAAGGTCCCTAAGTCGTATCGGTCCGGAAAAATCGCTGGTGGTAATCAATTCCACAAGGAAGTTGTGCGAGGAAGAAAACATCTTCTAAATCGCACAGTGGTGGACCGCCAATCATCCAGATGGTATGGATGGTATCGCGAGTTTTGTCGCGATGTGCAATGGTGAAATTGAGCGGCTGAAATTAGTCCGAACAATTCCTCAGAGCACTCCTCGTGGTACTTGCGATAAAATACGCAAAGAGATGCAACATCTCTACGCAGTGCCAGTAAGTCAAGCCAATCGGAAAGAACTCGGTCGTCGACGATTCGAACCGCTCTGCGCTGGATGCGTTTAAGTGGAAGGAGCTGGCACTGGGTAGCTCCTGCCCAGAGATGGAAACAGTAATCCACGTGAGGCTGAACCTGCGCCTTGTAAAGTTGCAGGCGGTGTGCCGGCATGAAATACTGTGCCGCTCTGTTGAGTATGCCAAGCTTTTTAGAGGTCAATTTGGCCTTTTCTTTCAAATGTCCACGAAACTGCACGTTACTCGATATGTCGTTGCTGAGGATTCCGATACTGGCTGAGGCAACAAGGTGAGTGCCTTGAAACTGAGGAGATATGACAAAGGGGTTCTGTCTTCTGGGGATTGAACTGGACTAGATTTAGTCGCCCCTAGTGTGAGACTTTGTTCAACAAAGTCTCGACTTCAGACACAAGTTTGTTCCGGTACTCGTATAGAGTATCGCCAGTGCTGTCATCCGCATAGCAATGTATGTTACCGGTTTGATCATTGATATGCAGTTTATCTATGTACCAAAACTGGACAATGACCTCCTCTTATTTTTGATAGTAATATGAAATAATAAGTCTGTAGTAATCTATACAAATGTGTTTGTAATGTTAAAAATAACAGATTTTTACTAAATGCATATGAAAGCATATACGGTACTAATAACAAAAAAAAATTTTAAATTTTTGTCTGTCTGTCTCTGTTTGTTTCGGCTAATCTCCGAAACGGCAGAACCGATTTTCACGAGATTTTGATTTGAAGATAGCTGATGTTATAACGAGTCACTTAGGATACTTTTATTTTAGAAAAAGAGAATAAATGTTCCGCGCAAACAGATTAAAACCCATGAAAGCTCAGTAAATTCTACGCAGGTGGAATTACTCAAGGTCGCGGGCGACCGCTAGTCTTGCTATGACTTTTAATTCTGACTTTTAAATCACACTTTAAAAAGGGAAAAAATAAACTTAGTGAGAATAACATGAAATAGTTTAGAAAATCCAAAAGTGCACGCCTCATGAGAGTTTTTTTTTTTCATAAAAATTAAATGAAATTTTGATGAAAAAGCTAAATAACTTTTAAACGGTGATGAGTTTAATAACAAAAATCAATAGGTATCCTAGTTAGAATATATGGAATCTTATTTAATACTATAATATATTATCTCAATGTATTGCTACATTTCTATTAAGCGAGAAGACTCACAGACGCACAGACAAACGGATGACAGTCCATATATTTTTCAATTACATTTTTGTTATGTAATCTAAAATGAATCAATAGTACAAATAGTAATTAGTTATTTTAACGTTAATAATAATATAGATTTGATGTCTAGCTAAAAGTATAAGAACGATTTTATGTAGCGAAATTGAGGTATGGCCGCATATCGAGAGTAGAGCACTACCGTGCAGACGTGCTGTAAGGTTCATCATCATTATCATTACAGCCTTTCACAAGTCCACTGCTGAGTATATGCTTCCCCCAAATTATGCCACAAAGCACTGTCCTGAGCCACCTGCACCCATCGACTGCCTGCATGTCTTACCAGGTCGTCACTTCATCTAGTGGGTGGTCGTCCTACACTTCGCCTACCGGTACGAGGCTACCACTCGAAAACCTTTTTTCCGCATCGGTTGTCGATTCTTCGAGCTATATCGCTGGCCCATTGCCACTTCAGCTTACTAATCCGTTGGGCTATGTCAGTCACTCTGGTTCTACTGCGGATATCATCATTCCTAAGTTTATCACGCAAAGAAACCCCAAGCTTAGCCCTCTCCATAGCTCGCTGAGCGACCTTGTGCCTCCTCATTCGGCCAGCAGTGAAGAACCACCTGTCAGATCCATAAGTCATCACTAGCAACACGCACTGATTATACAATTTCGTTTTCAGGTTTTGAGGTATACCTGACGAGTAATCAGTAAGAGTCGCCGAATTGAATATAAAAGTCCGAAACAACAATGATCGCTTCACTTTATGCTGTTGAATTATTCAGGGTTATTATTGTGAAAATATTAAATGAAACATAAACAAAACAAAAAGAAATAAGGAAAACATTCTGAATGTCAAAAGAATATAAAAATATTTATTTGGGGCTATTATTTCGTACATTATGTCTTAGCATCAACTTCGGAAAATGTCGTGAGGAACTCATTTATTTCTTTGAAGTTAGCTTATACTTTTTATTAAAAGTTTAGTTTTTGTAAATAGTAATTGTAACAGCAATTGTAACATTGCTTAAAAAAGGTTCCAATTGTTTCCGGCCGGGTATGTTTAAATTAACAACCACAAAATAACGTGATTCAACCTTGACGATTATTTCTATTCCAGAAAATATAATTATTAATAACGTAGGAAGTTTTAGGGTACTATAACAACTGTAACTTCTTACTACAAACGATTTTCGAACATTGTACTGAGAATAAAC